CATTCAGTTGTGAATTAAGCTTATTATAGAGTATCAAGATTTATTTATAATGATGATTACAGGAATAATTAAGATGTTAGGAATATTTATTTTGTAGTTTTTCTTGAAAGGTGCTAACATTTAGTAACTGAAGTACATGCATTATAATTTAAACGATAGCATTGTGTGATTCTTCAAGTATTTGCCTTGGATCACTCATAGAAACAAATATAGACCATAGATCGGCCTGAAATTCCACTCCTTTAAATCCTCCAGTGATCCTGGTTAGACATTTCTTGAAATAAAATTAGTAGTACATATGTATTATATACCATTGGAAAGCTAAAAAAATTTATATATAAAATCATAAAATATATTAGAGAGTGAGGAAAAACTTGTGGCATGATTGAGGGGTCAAGTGGATAAAGATGATCAGCAACATTTTAAGAAAAATTGAATTATTACTATAGATAAAGGTATTAAGTGGAATATTTTTAATCTTTCCTCCTTTCAGATACATAAATATAATATTTGGCTCAGAACTGAACTACTAAATGGCGATACGCATATTAACAATAATATTCAATAGACGCTTCCTCTTTAATAGTGAAATCTCTAATTAAGTCGTCAATCTGTCTGTAATTGCAATATGAATGTTTGGGCACACATTGATCTTTTATTTGTTTTTTTCTAAAGAAAATATGAATTTTATTACAAAGAAACTTACTCTAGATTTCAGAGTCTGGAATAAAATTGAAGAAAGTTTTGTTAGTAAAGCCAACAGAACTTCCAACGTCATCAAAATTCAAGACCTATAAATAAATCCGAAAGAATTTAACGGACACCTGAGTTTGGAGAAAGTCGTAAATTGTAAGGACAACTAAAATATGTAATGTAAAAACCCAGGTGTAAATAATAGGGGGTATAAAAAAAATCTAGTGCGCGCAACACACAACTTTCACCCACCACTGAACTTAGAATAGAAATTATTTTCTGACCATGTTGAGCTACTATAAATTTTTTGAATTGCATTTTTAACTCAGCTAAAGCTAAAAAATGACAGCTAACAAATCATAAACATCATTAAAATAACAAAAGTTTTATTTATTATATCATCGGCTGATTATGGATTTTACGATCCGTTGATTATGAATTGTACCACTATTAGTTATTAAACTGTTATTTTCCATTGGCTTCAAAATTGCATTATATTTTATTATATATTAATTATATTCAAAATTGGCTTAACAGAAGTGCCACTTTGTATAATCGATTTTACACATTTTTACAATCTTATCAAAAAAGGCTCTAACGATTTTGATTAAATTCGATATATCAATGTATAATTAAACGGCCTTTAATATCAGTTAGATTTTATTCTCGTTGATGTCACTTTACAGCACTAGCGGATAAAGAATTTAATTTTGGGGGGACTTCAGCCCGGTAGATTTTTTTTCATATATATAACGATAATTATGAGAAGGAGTTGATCGAGGGGTGCGGTCAAATTAATACTAAATTAAATACAAAACATCTTTTGTAGCCCTGATGAAGACCTACAAATTGCGTCGAAACGTCGGCAATAATTAAATAATTCTACTTATTTAATTTAGTATTAATTTGACCGCACCCCTCGATCAACTCCTCATATTATATCAACGGTCAACCATCTCTACATCATAACGCTAATTAATTTGTAAAAAAAAAGAAATAAATCAACTTCCTGTATGATATGGCGTTTAAGTGATTAAATGTAATTACACGAACAATAATACTTTAACAGGTAGTTTTTAATATTTTTCTATAAAACATGGTTATATTTTATCGTTTTTTTGAGGGAGGGGGAGGAGCTTCAACCCTAAAGTCCCCCTCTCGTAGATCCGCCTATGCTTTACAGGACTTAAAGTTTTAATGTAAGAAATTTGTTCTTATTTTTCTGAAACAAAGAATATAATGTAAGAGCAAAAGTTGGCTCGTAGGATGAAGTTATGTAGTTTTTGGGCCACAGTGAGATGCGAAAGCTTGTACTCCTGTCGCAGTTTGTTCTTACCAACTCCTAACTGATTCTCGCATTGATGGAGGAATGATAATTTATTTTTAAAAAATGAACTTCATTTATTCTTACGAACAACCTTTTATTTGAGCATAAGAAAATATGTTTTTTCTCTCGGACCCCTGTTTTTATTCATCTCGATTACAGATCTGGACGCATTGCGGTCTCCAGCCACTATGGTCTCCTTGAAGAATCTATACAATTCATAAAAATGGAAACTAGTCACGATATTAATTTATATATTTCTCATTAGAAAGTGTTTTTCTTTTTTTTAAAATAGCTGCTGTTGGGAACTTTTTCATGAAGGAAGGTAATTATTTGGTCTCCGATATGATCGGAATCTGATTATGATCAGAATCGGAATTTATTCTTAGAGATTTTTTTTTTCTTAGAGAACTCATTTCTAAGCTGTAGGGCCATTCATAGTAATCTGTCTCAAATTTTCACAAAAGTTGGTAAAAATTAGCGTTCGTTGACTGTGGTTGTCGACCATATCACTTAATCAAATTATTAAGTTCAGGTATTCGTTCGAGGCACAATTTAACTTTCTTTGATTTCTTAAAGAATAAGTTTTTCAATTCGATGCACTGTTTAGAAGTAATAGATGAAATAATACGAAAAAAGATTGGATACATCTGGTTTTTTGCCTGTAAAAATTTTCCATGGGTGGCGCGTGTTTGCAATTTTATTTATTACAAGTCTTAACCCATATACAGGGTGCCCCACAAGTATAGGGGAATATTTAAAGGAGTCATATAAGAACTCAAAAGCTACAAAAAAAGTTTAAATAAACAATGGTTAGATTTTCAGCAGGAAAGCAGGAAGTTAAAGTTTTGTACTCACATTAATGTGAGTTGCTCCGTGTCCTCGCCAAGTCATAGCCATGAAAGACAATCCGGTTTTCTTCCTTGTGTTCCTTTTAATCATTCACCTATAAAGTTTATAAAGGTTAAGGATGGACAAATAATAAGTGAGCCAAAGCGAATACTGGAAAGATGGAGGGAATACTTTATAGAGTTACTGGATGAGAATGATAGGAGCGAAGAAATGGAAAATTTCCAGAAAATAAATGAGGATAGGGTGGAGCTGCAGCAAAGAGAAGGCGACCCGATAGAAAAAGAGGAAATGTGGGACGCACTGGATAGGATGAAGCTGGGAAAGGCGGCAGGTCATGATGGAATAACACCGGAGATGCTTAGATATGGGGAGGGGGGAGGCAGGAGACGAAATACTCTTAAGAGTATTAGAATTGGCCTGGAAAGATAAGAAGATTACTAAAGATTGGGAAATCTCGACCATTGTCACAATGTTCAAGAAAGGTGATACTTGAGAATGTGCCAATCATAGAGGCATTGCATTGCTGAGTGTCCTAGGTAAAATATACTCACGTATTTTAGAAAGACGATTGAGGAACGAGGTAGAACACCAACAGAACGAGGAGCAGAGTGGCTTCCAACCAGGCAGGAGTACTCAAGATCACATCTTTGCACTACGCCAAATATGTGAGAAATCCATCGAGTACGATAAAGAGGTTTACCTGTGCTTTATAGACTTAGAGAAGGCTTTCGACAGGATACCTTGGAATGAGTTATGGGCTTCACTCCGGAATAAACAAGTGTCCGAGGCTCTTATACAGAGAATTAAATCTTTCTATAAGACCTGCAGAATCTATGTTAGAACGTCCCATCAAACATCTGCGGAATTTGTCACTACAATGGGAGTCAGGCAGGGAGGCATAGGGAGCCCTCTATATTTTATCACCTTCATGGATGATGTTATTAAGGAATGTAAGAGGAAAACAAGGGAGACACTACTTGGATATTGGAAATTGCAACCGTCAACTGTTCATCGTCTGCATTTGCTGATGACATTATGCTAATAGATGACAGTAAAGAAAAGTTACAGGCAAATTTAGATGTCTGGACAGAAGAGTTAGCAAAAAGAAATACGATCATTGGCACTTCCAAGACCAAGCGTATGCTGGTGTCCAGAAGCAAGAAGGATTTTGGGATTCGCATTCTTTTTGAGATGATACAGCAGGTTTCTACGTTCAATTATTTGGGTGTGACGATCAGTGAGAGCGGGAAGATCAGAGACGAAATTAATAAAAGAGTTGCCACTTCAGGAAGGATGTTCTCTGCCATCAATAGGAAGTTTTTAAGTAAGAGAGAAGTGGCAAAAGAAACAAAACTAGCCGTCTATTGCTCGACGTTCCTCCCTATCCTCACTTATGGAAGCGAATCCTGGGCCCTGAAGCAACATGATCGCAGCCGCCTCCAAAGCATGGAAATGAGGTATCTTAGGAAAATAGAGGGAAAGACCAAGAGAGACCGGATACGTAACACAACGATACGGACTACACTAAAAATTGAACCCCTCAACCAGATAATAGAGAAAGGGCAGCTTCGATGGTTCGGTCATGTAATGAGGATGGATGACCGCCGTTCAGCAAAGAAAATTATGGAGGCTAAACCAGCGGGAAAACGACCTAGAGGAATTACTTGGTAAGATAACCTCAAGAATATTCTTAAAGACAGAGGAATTGGATGGCCTGAAGCCAGGAGAGCAGCCCTCGACAGAGACGGATGGAAATCCTTGTACAAAATTCTCTACACCAAAAGCTAGAAGAGCATATTGAATAAGAAAAAGAAGATTAAAATAAGTCACGTTTTCTGTTGAATAGGAAGTGATAACAAAATAAACTATTAGCAATTGCTTCACTGTAAACTAGGCAAAATTTACTTTGAATTGACTACCTTGAAAATTTACTACCTTACTTGAGACAGGTAGTGGTGGGGGAATAGCTAGGAGTGAGAGAAGCACCTTGTACAAAAGTGCGCCTCTCTCTCTCCCTGAGAAAATTCATGGATCCACAACTGATTCAGAGCTGAAGGCCTTTTTCAGTGACGCAGACATCCCCACCATCATTAAGATAAGTTGACCACGGTTGGCGGGACATGTGGCAAGAATGACCGGTGATCAAATCCCGAGGAAGATGTTCAAATGGCTGTGCTGGCAGAGATGGGTCGTCAAACCAAGGATGCGCAAGGCCGACGGTGCGGGAGATGACGCTTGGTCCAACCTTGACGTAAGGATCTGAAAAGGAGCGGTACAACAAAGAGATGACTGGTAGTTGTTTTTGAGAGATGACTTTATCTCTCGTGGAGTATAGAGTCATTTAAGAAAAAGAAGTTGTTGTCCACGCTCTCCACGACCCCATTATATCATTCTTAGATCCCTAACATCCTTTTCATATACGGCGACAGTCATGACCTTTTTCTTGTAGCAGTTATTAAGCATTGCCTTATGAACAAGTTCTCCTTGTCACTCTTCTGTGGCTCGCTGAAGTTTATCCTGAGTGTCGATCAAATGTACAATGTAGTCTGCTTGTCTGGATTCTGTACTTGAACTGATTACATGTTTCATATTCCACTTGCAATCTAAGCAGAACTCCCGCATATTATGTGGATTTAATACATGAAGACTATGAATAACAATTCATTCAGGTCTCAGTCTATTGTAAAAATGAAAATATTGTTGATTTAATATTGCCACGATACATGGCGACTTCTTTGCCACGATATCCGGAGCGATGGCACCGGTCGCTCTATCCATGCGATGTCCCAGCAAGTAAGATCTATGTCCTGCATTAAGAAACCTCTAAGAAAAGATACATAGCAGGAGTGACTAGTTAGCAGACTGATGACAAGTATAGTCGCTTGAAAAAGGAATCCAAGAGGGGAAGAAAAGCCATTACACCACTACCTCATTGCGTGTCGCCATTTAACCAGGTGATGTGGTGTCTCTCTATCATTATTTTCCTTCAGTGACTCTCTTGTCACCAGTTTTTAGCTAGTCACTTCCGGTATGTACCGGTACCTATTAAGTTTTGCTGGCACTAAGTTTAAAAGTTAGTAATATTCCAATAATGTGGTATTTAAAATAGCCTTTTCTTAATGGTAGGGCCACACATAAGGCAAATATTTGGCAAAGCGTTCAATAATCCTGATTGGCCAAGTAGAGTGACCGCTAAATTTAGCAAATATTTGCCACATATGTGGCCATACCATAACTTTCTGCTTTTACAATTTATAATAAAAAATAATCATTTGTAATACAGTATATACCGTTGAGTTATTAAGAAAAACTTTATAACCTATATTTTTAGCTTATGTTTTCATTTTTCGAAATTACAGAACAATAAATATAGTATTTTTCATTAAACACTGAAATTCAAATTTGAAATGAAGTCCGCTTTTGTTTGAGTTTTAGTAAATCTTGTTTATTATTAATTCTGATATCTCTTGACAAATATATAATTTTTTATAATCTGGAAAAGTTCTTCCTAATAACTCAATCTCATTAAATTACTTATCTAAAGAAAATTCTGCTAACTACAATCATGTAATCAGTGATCGATATTGTTCAATATGGCCGATTAAAGCTAATATTACGGACAAAGGAGATGCTTATATGATTGATTCGAGAACATGCACAAAAATGACCATATTAATGAAATTTCAGTAAGTTATTTTGTATGTATATGCATTAAAGCTTATTGAAATAAAATAGACCCGATTTTACTATTCTGATGTTTCCACAATGTTTTTAATGTTTTATCTAGTTCTTAAATTATTCTTTTATATATATAAATATATTGATGAAAGATAGTTTTACGTGTTTAAATCAATCTATTCCTGATTTCTATGAAATCTGTATTTGATCAATGAATTGAAAGATCGGAAGGTAGCACTGTAATGGTTGATACTGCTAGATGAACCGATGAAGAAACGTATTTCGGCATTACTATAATCATTAATGTTTTATCGTGAACTTTCCTGAAATTTGAAAGTTTAGGGGTATTCAACTTATCTTATCATTTCAAGTAATTATGTTGAATAAAGAGTATTTTACTGGACATTAGATAGATTAACATATCAAAATCCTTTTTAGAATGTCAAATTAATGACAGTTTGTTTTTAGCTTTATCAATATGATTTATTAACTTCAAATTATCTTTATTCCATCCATTTGTTATTTTATAGCGGCTAGCTCTCCACCTCGCTAATCGGGGGAAAATAACATTGCTCCATGTTCAACAGAAAGATTTTGGAAGACCTCATTTGGCTTTGCTCAGCTGGTGTTATCATACAATATAGGTTTACAAGAAATGGCCAGCACTATATCAAATATGAAAGTAACAAACCCTATAAAAGGCCTTGTCAGCAAAAGAAGAAAACGTTATACAAAAGATGGATTCAATTTGGACTTAACATGTAAGTGATTCAATACTTTAACTTAAATGTTGCAAGTTAGTAATTTTTAATTTAGTAGTGGTTTATATGTTCTGCTTTAGTTCTTGACAATTTTCTTTATAGGGCAGTTCGGGTACTGTCTTGCTAAATCTAAATCATTATTTTGCGATATTTTTTTACTTTCTGGCTCCTGTTTGTATGTTTTTTATTGTTATATTATACTTTTCTTTTTCCTTTATTGCGGTATTATTTGTGATAGTGAGGTTTTTTCATGATTTTCGTTTGTTTCAGATAGTGAATTTATAAACCTCATTATTATTTAGATATTCACCTTTGTATTGATTTTAAGTAATTTCGAAGCAAAGTATATAAATTTTCCTAATATTTTGTTGTTTGCTGTGTTTAAAAAAAAAAAATCTATTTTATGGCTTATTTCTTATTTTGATGCAATGTATACATCTAATATGTAGGACCATTAGAAAAAAAAAACAAACATCTATTGATTTATTTCTCTCCATGAAGATAACATTTAATTAAGTTGTGCTAGTTGAAATCTTGCAAATTTAGTTTAGCTGGACTGAATGTGTGTTGTTTTATTTTAGAGTTGCTTGTAATTTGGAATCTCAATATTGTCTAAGTTAGTGAGTCTACTTCTTGATTACAGTTGATTTTCACTTAACAAATAGTGTTAAAATTATAGTGTAAATTATAATTGGAATAAGTAAATTATTCAATTTGTGTATTGTTTTGTTGGTTCCACTTCTTGCTCTGTATGGCTTTTGCTTTTTTCAATTAAATTATTTGTTTTTGTAAGTTTTAAAGAGATAATATTCTCCGTGATGTCAATCATCTATAAGACAAGATATAGCAGTAAAGGAGGTTTTATTAGTGTGTTAGGTCAATAATTTCCATTAGTGGTAAATTAATCTAGGTTCCGGGAAACTTGAAAGTAAACTGGTATCCTTAAACTTTTATTGGTAAAAATCATATAATCTACCAAAAACTTTAAAAGATAATCATTCTATTTTGCTTCTTTTTTTTCTATTGCAATTTCATTTTAAATTCTTCATTTTAATTTTCCCTTATTTTATTTTTTCTTTGACCATATGACATCAAATCTGTCCGTTTTTTTTATTTTTTATTTTCATGTATATTAGGGTATTTCTTCTGTTATCTCTTTTTTAAGTTTTCAATTAAGTAATTATTAAACCAGTTATGATAATATTTTCTTCTTGCAATTAAAGACGTATTGCTGAAAATTATCACCATACCGATACAGCCGACTGTTTTGCTTTTACAGACAAATCTTACTAACATATAAGTCGACTTTCCTGCCTACTGTTGTTCATATTAACTTTTAACTCATCTAGTCGCATTGATACAAACTTGATGTTGAACTTCTCATTGTTACATAATTCAAAGATTGTAAATTATTAAGTAATAAGTATCTGTTTTTAAATTATTTTTAAACTGATAGAAACCTATAACAACACTTACATAAAAATTTTGTTTTAAAAAAATTATTTTAATGGCAACATAAAATCAAACTACTCCACAGTAATGACATTGCAGAAGCATAAGCGAAGGAGGAGGTAACATTATTCCAGGCAGAGGATAACATACTTTTTTTTTCTTTTCTTTTCTCCCTCTTCCTCGCCTTTAAAGCTAAAAGGAGTTTTCGCGGGTCAGAGGGTTTGGGGGGAGGGAGGATTTAAAAGACTCCTCCTGTACTGGGACACAAATGTGTGACTATTTTATATTAATTCTCTCATATATCAGGTTGCCTGGCAACGGCGGTGCTCTGCACACACGTTAGCCCGTTCGGCCACCCTGCCCACCAGGAGGATAACGTACTGTCAAGCAAGTAAAGAAATAGTTTAAAGAGAAATAAATTAAAAAAAAAATCCTTAAGGCAACTACAACTACTGCTACTTTACGATATATAATAGGCCATATTTCTTAAGGAAAACAGATGCATCTCAATAGATTTAAAACAATAAACTAGGCATGATTGATGCCTGAAGAACTGAAAAACAATTCAGGATGACCACCCGACATGATTACTAAAAAAATTACATTTACTTAAAACAGGTCTAGCAGAATCTTCTAGCTTAGCAACAGCGAGTTTACTGTGGATGTGGCTCGTCTTGAATCATTCTTTACTTTCTTGGATATACAAACAAGAAATAAATATACAAGTCCTTACAAGAGAAACTGCTTAATTGACAGACAAGTGCTGCTTTTGAGGCGCATCCCAGTAGATAGTTTCTTTAAATCAGTCATTTAATGATCTGCTATGAGACTCGTGGTAGAAGCTAAAAGTCAAGGCCTAGGAAAAAGAAAAAAATATGCAGAAATTTATTTAATACTATTTTAAAAGTTGTATAAGTCGAATTTAAGTCTTCAAGTTTACTCATTTTATGCACTCTTTTTTAAAAATTCAATATCTTTCAAAAACTTTAATTCTATGCAATATGAGTTTTTTTTTTTAAGTTCTAATACAGAGTGTTCATTGATTCAATTATATTCTCATTTACTTGATTTGGAAAAACGTAAAATGAGATAAAATGTTTAAACTTGATGGATAAATAAGTACAGAGCTAATTTTATTGGACGAAAGGTTATTCTGTATTTTAAACTGATTGATTACTAAGTATGTTGTTATAAAATAAATAAAAAATGCACTCAAAATCTATATTCAATTGTCCTGATGGCTTAATAAGAAATACACAAAACTTGATATTGTTTATTAATGAAACTGGTCTTGACTTCATCTGACGTAAGGTATTCCTTTTCATAAAGTTATTCCGGATATTACTCTAAAATATAATAATGAACTAATATCGTAACTTTATATCGTAAGGGTATGTCATTTATTTATCTGTTATATATTTACGCCTCTCTACTTTCCCTAGATTATCTTTTTATTTTGAGGAATTCATAATTATATTGTATGAAAGAATTTTTTTTCACATTATGGTATCAAATTTTTAAAAAAATTATACTGAATTCATACCTAGCCCTGTAGATTAAATTTAAATAATTGATTGAATAATGATGCTCTCTTTGATAGATTGATCGATTCATCATTTTTTATTAGTAATTCTGTTGTTAACACTTTGACTGCTACGGTACTTTTCAAAGTAATTTTAACTTAATTATATATTCTTATTAAAGACTCTGATTTTAATACATATTGGTTATTTAAAAAATGAAACAAATTTCATCATAGTTTTAAGAACATGACATCTAAAATAACTATGAGATTATTTGTAGTAACACATCCTATACCACAACATTGACTGCAAATTATCTGGTAGGTCGGCAGTCAACTTGTTGCCTGAAATGATTTATAGTATGCGTTTTAAATAAGTTTATTACAAATTTTCAGATATAAGGAACAATCTTATCGCCATGGGGTTCCCTGCTGAGAAATTGGAAGGTGTCTACAGGAATCATATTGATGATGTAGTGAAGTTTCTTGAAGCTAAACATAAGGACCATTATAAAATTTATAATTTGTAAGTAGTACTATTTTATGATGCCTTTTAGATCTTATATTATTTATTTGTTTTATTTAGTTTGCCTACTAGCTGTTATCAATTTCAAAAAGTCTAGGATGAATGAATAAAAACACTTCATAGCACTTCTCAACTTTTTATTTGCTTAATATTTCGGTTCATTCATTCATTTTCAAAAGAATTTAACTGTTTTTGTATGAACTTTAGATACATTACTTTTGTTTATTAGATTTTATACTTATCCTTAATCTTCATATTAACTCCAGTGCATCCAAGATACATCTGACTCATATCCCTCTACAATTTAACACAAATCAGTTTATCTTGAATACGATAGAGCTAATATGATCATATTTGTATAATATTATAATAAACAGTATAATGTAGTATAAAATAAGAAGAAATTTAAGGATTAATAACAGTTAAATACTTTTGAAAACAGGTGACAAAAGCAAAATGTTGAACAAATGAAAAGTTTGGGAATGGTATGGAACTTTTTACTTGTTCTTCCTGTTCTATTATAACATCAATCTTCTATTATCATTTTCATGAAAACTATATCCCCAAATAATTAATAAGTTTTACCCTTATCTTGATGGATCTAATGAGATTTTGATGTCACTGGATAAAAACAATAACATTTCTTTTATAAAACCATGTTTAAAGTTCGTATTCAGATTAGTTAAAGGTGGATCATTTTTCCCTGAAAATTTCTAAGCCATTGAGTGCTTAGCATGGCTTTGTTGTTCCATTTGTGTTAAAAATTCTGTATGGCATTCTTTTCTTTGATTTGCTCATGATTTTTAGTAGAAACTATGATTAATAAACTATGATTTATTAAAAGTAAAAGGAGAATTATGGTTAAATCATTGTAATTTAATTTTTTGTGTACATAGGTGTTCCGAGCGATCTTACGATGTTAGTAAATTTCAGCAAAGGGTTGCTAATTATCCCTTCGATGATCACAATCCTCCTAAAATTGAAGTAATTAAACCATTTTGTGAGGATGTTCACACTTGGTTGTCGCAAGATTCTAATAATGTTGCTGCGGTTCATTGCAAAGCTGGAAAGGTAAGTGAAAACATTTTTAAATTAAATTATTACAATTGATTAACAATCAACTTAGTTGATTATTTACTTTTCCATTGTAACATATTAATTATTAGTAAAAAAAAAAAAAAAATTATCCAATTTTTTCAAGGGAGTAAATGGGGAGAGGTTTGAAATGGGGAACTGATTGTACATGTCTAATATCAAGAGGAATAGAATTCCAGGAGATTTTTATCAATGGGATAGCTAATTTTGACAGTTAAGTGTATGAAAGAGACTTTTATTTATTTTTGAGCCAAGTAAAGTAAGAGATTATCTTAGCCCTGGTAGGCAATATTTTATATTTATATATTTAATGGTGCAGTTGTTTTGGTTTATTTTCAATAATGAACTTTTATAATTGACCAAGAAAAAAAAATATCTCCTAAATTAGATTCTTCTCATTTCAAAATATATAAATTCAAAATTTGAATTAATAATATCCATCTTCGAATTTTCTCCAAGGATTTACTTGACCAATTTTATAATTGGAATTTTAAATTATCATCGACCATTTGTAAATATAATAGGAAAAATAATATTTTTTGGAATTATTAAACCAAACCTTCAAAAATAAATATCTATTTATTTATTTTGAAATTTGTGAAGAACTACATTTCTGTCCTATGAAATTTTGTAATATAAATTTTATATATTACAAGGATTTTATATTATTGAAAGATAACATTTATAATAAAAATTTATATGTATTCCCCGATGATGATAACTTGTAATAGGAATTGCCGTCTGATGGCCATGATGCAGGTATAATATCTGAGGGGATTTGAAGTTACATCATTTCAATCAACATGCTTTGGACAAACAAATTTGCTGCTATTCAGATTGTGGTGTTATGAATTTACGTGAAACCGTATTTTTCATTTGTTTTTAAAATTAGGTTTGGGAATACTGTTGTATTATTATCAATTCACAACTTATGTTTTTTTTTATTTGTTTTTTTCAGGGTAGAACGGGTGTTATGGTTTGTTGTTATATGATTCATGCTAAACTTTTCGAAACAGCAAATGAAGCACTAAACTATTATGGTCATATGCGAACAACTGATACGAAGGTTAGAATTCAATTTTTTTTAGTCAAAAATTACATTTTATTATATTCTAGCACAATATTAATTTAGATGTTTTTTTTTTCTAATATAGGGCGTTACTATTCCTTCACAAAGAAGGTATGTGAACTACTATGCGAGTTTGGTGCAAGAAGGTTTAGAATATTCTCCAGTTACATTAACGATTCGGGAAATACGTCTTGAACCACTTCCGAATCTTTTTAATGGAACCCAGGGATGTAAGTATTAACTTATTACATCTCTAAATAATACTGACAAAAATGCCTTTTCTCATACATTCAGTTTCAAGTTCTGTCCTATAAGAAAGAAGAGCATTAAGTTTCAGAAAAATTTATTAAGTCTTTCTAAAAGATGATCCTCACTTCCTGATGAAGGAAAGATTATTTACCTCATTTTTTTTTTCTACCTCAATAGCCATTCCTATTTTTAAGCGTGTCGATTTTTGTATATTATTCTATTTGATTAGCTTTCAAAAGACTTCCAGAGTTTATAAATATAATTGATACATCATTCCATAGACTTCTGGTTAATCAGAAAAAAATATATGAGTTCCCTACAAGATGTCTCCAGAATGATACTTTTTTATTAAATTGTTTTGTTTGTTTTTGCGTGTCTTCACAGCATGAGCGATCTTATATTTATACCATTAAGTTACGTTTAGATTTTTATTAATACTGTATTTGATCAGTGATTTTTTGCTTGCTACAATCTTAATTTTGTTTTTCAGGTGTAATGTTTGTTATCTCTGAAGGAAAAGATAAAGTCTTTACTTCTGAACAGTATGACGTTAAAAAGGGAGGTTCTTATATTTCAATAAAATTGGAAGTACCTCCGGTACAAGGGGATATTAAAGTGGAGTTCTTTAGCAAACAAAAAATGATTAGAAAGGTAGCTAGACCTCAATTTAAACTATTATCATAATAAATCAATGAACACTTAATTTGTATTCTCAACTGAAATGGTTTAACCTAATAACCAAATTTATCTTTAAGTTATATTAAGTAAATACTGTATTTACTTTAAGGAAAAGTTGGTTGGAGGAGGGGGAGTGCAGTCATTGAATCCAAAATTCATTTATTAGCAGAAATTATTTCATTGCTGGTATTCCAACATTTTGAGGTCTAAACAATAATGCAATGATGAGTGAAAAATAAAGATTAATTTAAGTGTTATTGAGGATGTACCCAGTCCTGTCATAAATATTGTTATAAGAAAATATATACTGATTTCAACAGAAAAATTAATTTTTTCAAAAACTTTATTAGAAAATAAAATGTATACCTATAGAAAGTAAAACCAAAAAGAAATTACTCAAAATGTCCCCTTTTCCATAGACACAGGCATTTAATCTACATTGTCAGTCATCAATAGCAGCACACAGCACTTCTTAAGAAAAACACTCAACTGCTCGAATCATAGATTGTTTAAGGCTATCCAAGTTAGGGTGTGCTCTGTGGCATGCCGTCCTCTCCAGTTCGGACCAAAGCCAATAATCTAGTGGGTTGAGATCAGGGCTTCTTGAGGGCCAATCCGAGGCAGAGATGAACTCTGGAATGTTCTTTTGCAGCCACTGCTGAGTTGACCTGGCCTTGTGAGCTGGACCGGAATCCTGCTGGAAAACCCAATGACTTCCAGCAAACAGAGTATCATTTAGAGGCTTGGCAACAGGTTCCAAAATATTACCTCATAGTTTTTAGTGGCTGTTAGAACTCCTTTTTCACAAAAATGGAGCTTTGTGGTGCCATCAAAGCAAAACTTTTCACTACTCCAGTGACTTCCTGGGCTTCTTTGGAGCTTTGTGGCAAAATTTAATCATTTTAGTGATTAAATTTTTCTTCAATTGTAAAAATTTTCTCATCATTCACCAAAATCTTTCGATAAAGACCATTGTTGTAACAGCCAAGGAACACTTCGCATCTAACCATTCATAAGTTTTTTTAGGGAAGTGGTCAGCCTTTGTCCTGTCATTCTTCGAAATTCACCCATCCTAAGGTCACTTTTTATTATGCTAGACATTGATCTGATAGAGATTCCCATTTCCCGAGACATGATTTGTTGCTTTTGAATTGAATTTCTTCTGATTTGAGCAGACGCTGCTCTCACTACATTTGCTGTTCTCACAGTTCAGGGACGGCACGGTCGAGGTCTGTCACATACAGATAGGGTCTCATTATATCTATTTATAGTGCAGTACACGAACATAGAGCTAAGATTTCAAAGTGTTGAAAATCTCAGACCTATATTTTACAACTTTGTGTAAGGCGATCACAGCTAATCGGATTTTCTTTATCACTCCACTCCATGTTAAATGAGCGAAAGAAAAATACAAACTAATTGGGATTATTAACCTGACATGTAAAGAAAATAACCTGATAGAGGTAAGGATTATCTAAATTATACCCAAGGATGTAAACAAAGTTCAACTTTTTTACAAGAATAAAGAGTAAAATCACTACAAAGAACAGCTTTAGCTTAGAAGAAGTTCTAAAGATTAAAATGTATTTTTAAAGTAAATTTTCTAATAAAATAGAAAAACTATGTTTTCATCAACTGCACAATCCCTGTACTTTACTATTATAGTCAGACATGATCATACATTTAATTCATGGAAAAGAAGATTTGAACATGGCGAAACTCAATAGAAAGGAATATAGCTAGAATAAGGAAAAAATATAAAGTGAGAATTAAAGCAGTCAAGATAAGAACTCAGGTGAAACCGCATCCAACTCCTAAAATTTCTTATAAGGAGATTTGTTAAGAGGAAATGATGGAAGATGGCCTCTCAAAAGTTATCCAGTGAACTCCTTCTGAAAAATGAATGGATGAAATTAAAAATAAAGATGGGGTTACATTTATTAGAGAATCTTAAAATAGAATAGAATGGGTAAATGAATTGAGCAGGACAGCAGTAATTGGAACAGCTTATAGCTTATTCGAATATCGCATATCTGCTTTTTAATACAAAATGTTTTTGCTTCAAGAATACAATACATAACATTTTTCTCCTATATATAAATTGAAATAAGTAAAAAATCAAGTCAATCAATAAAGCTATCTATTTATCTTTTGACATTTTCAGACATCTTTCATGAAGATTTGCAAAGTAGATCGATCAAAAGGGCATCAAATAAGTTCCATATACTAGTATTTTGACTTTATTGATCCCATTCTCTCCTGACCAACTTATTAATTACGTGTATATTTGCTGTCAGCTACATATCCACTATTTATAGCTAATGTTATAAATTATTATAATTAAACAAATTTTAAAATTTATCTAATAAGAAGCTCTACCTGTGATCATAAAATAATTGTGATATGATAATGATGCTAATTATTACACTCCCAATGAAAACAAACTTCTTCATATGTATATAATTTTTTTTTTTTTTTTTTCATGAAGGAGAAAATGTTCCATTTTTGGTTTAACACTTTCTTTGTCCGGGAAGAGTTTAAAGGAGGTGAAAATGGTAATTCAGAATGTAATGAGGTTATGCCAGAACGTTCCCTGAGCTGCGTTGAGCAGCGAACTTCAAATCCGCCTCAACTCTACAAGCCGAGGTTTGTGTAACAATTTTCTTTTTTGGTTCAATTTCTTATTAAGTATTAAGTTATATTAAAAACTAAAATTTCTCAAAAAATAGACTCTTGTAGGTACTCCGGAAAATTAGTATATTAAGATTAAACAAAAAGGATGAAGTCCTATATGCACAACCTTGTTATTACTTAGCATAACTTAAGAGATTGCTTGTATGTTTATTTTATGTCGCCCTTGTTTTTTTGGGTGTTCAAAAATTTATGATTATAAATTTTAAGTGAATGTTTTCGAGATTAGATAAAATTGTTATTATTCTACCAACTTGTGAAATTTTTCCTTAAGTTGATTATTGATAAATATTATCTCAATCAAGTGGCATCTTCTCTGTTTGTCAATCAGTGTTAAGAAAAACCTGCCTGAGTTCTTTCAAAGCAACCAATAAACATTATGCTAAAGTTATAATTAAAACGAGTGTCACTTCACATTAGGAACATGTATGATTTGATGATTTCCTAAAAATTGTAAGACAACAATATTGGTGTTATTACGGGGTTCGAAATAAGGAAATTAGGATGTGAATAGAAAATGGGATTTAAAATATTCAATCTTAGTAATGGATTAAAAAAGGGCCATTTTATTAAATGACATAAAATCTCTTATGTTTTCTTACTACAGAGTTTCTACCTGTCTGGAAATTCATACTAGAGGAAGACTAGAAACTTATCATTACCCTCCACCCTTTCTCTATATTTATCTTAATTTCTTTGTTAGGGTTATCTATTTGGAAATGAAAAACCACTGTATAATAATTTTGCAATGTTTTAAATTTAAACGTCATTATATTTCTATGATTTTTTATTTTATTGGATTTTAGTAAAAATGCTTGTCGGAAATTTTTATGAAAAGAACAAGGTATTTTCAGCTTGAAGTTCAAGTATTTTTATCTTAGGTATCAATTCATTTTTATTCTAAAACTTCAATAGTCAAAATTTATTTCCCTATAAGGTTCTTTAACTTGCTGTTAAAAGCAAGAAAAAAATATGGTCAATGGGAGGAGCCTGTTTCCATTTTTTTTTCTCCATTTATTTCTAAAGAAAGAATTTCCTCTAGGAAACGATGAAAAAAATAATACTTGTAATTAATTTCCAGGGCGAACTCATTGGTGAACTTAGAAACTGAAGGTCTCCCTTTAATATTAAGGATCGATAAATGGGATCTGGATGATGCTCACAAAGACAAAGGAAACAAAGTTTATCCATCGGATTTTAGGGTATATTATACTTCTTCTTTTTTTTAAAATATATTTCTATTCCTACGCATTACTGTTTTGAAATAAATGTTTCTATAATTCCATAATTTTAGTGATATTATTAGGATTGGCGAATAATTTCTTTTTGTCTACTGTGTTTAAAAACAAATGAACTGTTCGGAGTTGTTGAGCATATCAAATTGTTCAGGTCCTAAGTTTATCCTCTACTTTTGATGTAACTCTTTTTTTTTTTCTTTTTTTTTTTTTACAATATTAATTTATTGTGAAACCGAAAATTCTATGAATAATATTCATATTTTAAAAAATAGTTTCTTCTTCTTTGTGGTATAACTTAAGGCTTTAAACAATTATGTAAGTGGAGTTATTAATCAATCACAACTTATGTTATACATAGGTGAAGCATGGGCAACAAAATAATTGGCCACTTTGCTTGGTTGGTGCTGTGTGGAAAAAGAAACATTCTAGGTTGCTAACTTTTTTTTTTCTTTTGTATAAGATTTTAAAGTGTTTTTTTTTTAAGACAGAATGAATTTTTTCTATTTTTAATTTTAAAAATCCTGATGTTTTTAACTCATACTTGATAGTTACATTACTTACCTTGATTGTTATATATCTTTTCTAACAGTAGAAGTTGAGAAGAAAAAATATAACAGGTGTTCAAAATGAATAATATGAGAGATTTTATGTTTCGGAAATTAATAAATTTTAGTAGATTAATAACGTTTCAATAAAATTTATAGATTTTGTATTACCGTGTTAATTTTGGTTTATTTGTCTTCATTGTTAATATATTTGACTAGTTTTCTCCTTCTCCCCCGTAGTAAGCCATGAAGAAGAAAGAACACTATTAATGTTTAACACATTTTATGCCATATATCACAATCACAAGTACCAAGAATTTCTATAATTATGAATTAGTTTTAAAAAAATAATAACAATTATGAGTATTAAGAAACTGTTGTTATAAATAGAATCTGGGTTCCAAATTTATGCTGGAAATCTGTTCAGATCTGCTAGTGGCAAGAAATTGATTTAATATGTTTAGTATATCTGGGATTGATTGGGCAGCTCTTGTTTCGTAAAATATTTAAACAATTTAATTTAGATGAATTTATCAGATTGCATGCTGCTAGTCTGTTTTCATCAATTTTGTTACGATTCCAAGATTCTAATAACCAAATATGACAGAGTTAGTAATTGGAGTAATGAATTTTTTTTTTATTGTTATTGTTCATAAGTCAATAAAAAAAAAAATTATGCAATAATAAGACAAGAATCCTTGGTATTAAAAAATTACTAAGTTGGGTATGGAACATGAAATTTAAATAAATATTTTATAAAAATGGAAGGCTATAACTTACTAATTAAATTTGTGATTTTATGGATCATCTTCAGTTTTATCAATCCTGATTGTTTCCAATTGTAATTATTCTAACTCGTTATTTAAATCAGATTTTGGTACTAGTTAACTAGTGTCATTCCTGTCCTGTGATTAGAGATCACATGAAATCCTGATATTAGCTGAGTAGGAATGAAAGTATACTGAGGCGTGAGATCTCAAGACTTTAGATATAAAGTTATATTGCATGCATTTTATGAATATGGATCTTTACCTACATTATGCATTTGTAGAAAGAAAAATAATAAACAAAAACTTGTATTACTAAGTGTTATTTCACTTTATGTTTTTTTTCTTGTCGATAATTACATTACTTAAAATCATGCTCTTTCAGATATGCTTCATAAGATTTAATCTTCACTATATTCATTTCTCTCTCGGAAATAAATATTTAAATAAACACAATGTTTATGTTTCTAACCTATGTTAAACATAACTCCTATACCTTTAAAAAGTAATATATTATTAAAGTAATACCTTAAAAATTAACGCTCAACTTATTAATAATACAAGAAAAATAATAAAATGCATAAATTTCTGATAAAAAGAGGAGAAATAGGAAGTTAAGTTTGAATGATGAAGTGGATGGCAGAGGCAACAGCAAGTAGTTAACAATATTTGGCTACTTCTCAGCTTACATGAACAGTGTGATCGATGTGATATTTTCCCACCTATTAAACAAATGTGACACTTGTCAACTTATACCCTAATTTCGAAACTACATTTATCTTTTCATATTTATCAATTTTCAATTCTATATTTTCATCTGTTATAAATAAAAAAAATTTATCAATATATATATATATATATATATTTTTTTTTTTTTGTTGAAACATTGAAATTTACAACTGTATTACATGAAAAATACAACAAGTAAATTTTAAATGGGTAACATGACATGTACAACATGAAGAGAAACTACCCGTTGGTAGCAACTCCAATTGTATATGAAATTAAGTTGATTAAACTTTGTTTTTTTAATCACCATTAACATATTGAAGTTAAATTTTTTTAATTTATTTATATTGGTACTTGTCTAATCTTGTAGTTCTGGTAAAGGTTATGTAAATTTCCTTACCTTAACAACAGGCTGCGCTACTGTTAAATATAATCTCCTCAATTGTTAATTCCTATATTATTTGGTCATTTCGCTTTGATGAAAAATATATAAGCCCAGAGATCTGTATAAGAACTTCATCATATTGCAACAGTGACAACTAATGTTCAAATCAATGTGTTTAATTTTTTTTTTTTTAATATCGGTATCTTTCTGTGTTATCTTGTTATGAGCTCGGTATCTTTCTGTGTTATGAGCTCTGGGCAATCATTTTTTTTTTCTTTTCAATAGTTTTTAGTACCGTATACTATCTAAATAGCAGTATTTTAATTTTTTAAAATCTAAATGATATGTGATAAGTATCATCCTATGACTACTCATTGGATACCTAGTAGGTTATTGCTAGACTTAGGGTGTACCCTTGCATTTCCTTTAAAATAGTAAATTTTATGACTTCAAAATCTGTCCTTTGCCTCTTCAATCTGCTGATTAACAGCAATTAAAGTTATGATGTTATTTTAGTTACATTGATTTGCAAGAACAAGGTTTGTACAATTGAGATTCGTCTCTTCTCCATGAAATTACCTCTCTTTTGACATCTTATTTATTATAATACCAAAGTGGAAAGAGATGTACTAGTATGTTAATATGAAACATTTATTTTCGTACAGAAAATATATGTTTATTGCATTCAAATATTTTAAAAATTCATTCAAAATATAGTCCATCGCTATCTATACATTTTTCTCATCTCTTCGGCCCTTTATGACTGTCATGCCAGGAAAACTAGTACTCTTTTGTGGAGAACCAGTTATTAAGCCATTTTCATAAGAAATGAAGCGCTGCTAAGGAATTGCGTACCTCATCAGTGCAAATAAATAGCTTGACAGAGCCTATTCTGGTGTTTAAGACTTATGTGCCAATATTTTACGACTAAATACCTCAATCTGTTCCTTCACTGGTTTTGTGTGGTGGCTCATTATTTTGGGCAAAATCTTTTTTTTTCTGTATTGTGAGCAGCCAAAGAAACAAAATGATGCCAATAATGTGGTTCTCACAGTTACTACATTAATAACTAAAGCCATCTATGGACAAATACCGGTTTCATATTTTTACCTGTGGTATTAACTCCTGAATTATATAAATAGTAGATTGAGTATCGATCTGACAGGAATGAGTTTTAGTTGAAGCATAAAATAAAACTGTTAAATGCATACCCATTGAAAAGTATAAAAATGAAGATCCGTAGCAAAATCGTGTATGTGGTGTGAGAAATAGGGAAAAAGGTTACCCTGGCTTATTAGGATTAAAAGATTAGACAAGTACTATAACTTGTTTTATTATATTTGTTCTTATTTTTGGTAATTAACAAATAAAATACAAAATTTTTGTTACACCCTTTATTCTGATAAGGGTGCTTAGTAGATTGTATTATATTATAAACATCATCTTTGAATTTTTAAAATAATATTTTCTTTTTTATATATAATTAGGTAAGTGTGGTAATGAGTCGAGTTGGTGCTCTTTGGACGAGGAGAGGACCTGGGATTTCTCGTGAAACTCCCTCAGAGTCTTCAGATGATACGACTGAGTCATCAACCGCTGATGAAGACGAAGACGGCTGGGAGTCGGGTAAGCCTATCAACCATTTATTATTGGCTAGTTTATTTAATTATTTGTATGAATTTTTAAAATATAAATCGTGTCCTTTTTTGTGGACACATTTTTGTGAATAAATGAAATTCAACTTAATTTTTATCTCTACCACATGTTGACTAGGTAGGTATATTAAATTAGTATCTAGGCTAGGTTTCTTCTTTTTTTTTTGTTTATAATTATAAATAACATGTCTTTTTCCTTGTAATTTCTTTTGAAGCATGTTGAAACAAAAAAATTACCTTTTTCTGTAATCCTTTGTTTAAATTACAACCTTTAACTTGATTATTAAATGGAAATCAACCTCAAAAGACTTTTGTGCTTATATCTACTATGGTAGATAAGCTGTTCCATTTTAATGAATTTTTGTTGTCTTCTACCTGAGATGTTATTTAAAAAAAAAAAATTATGAAAATAATGTATTTTTTATTCTTCTTTCCCATAATCCACTAGATACAAAAAAGTTGCACATTGAAAATTTCATAACTTTTACCAAACACATTAGAATGATACTTTTAGAACCTCTACAGAAATAAAGTATCTTTTAAAAAGTTAATTATAGAAGAATTTACTCATAAAGATGTCTGTTATTAATCAGATATGAGCCCTTCTTTTATTTGTTTTCTCAGTTGAATTTGTAATATTCCCTATTCTTATTCATTTCTCTCATCTAGATGTCATAAAATCTTTCACCATTTATATTGCTATTTAACGTTTACTGTATGATTTGTTTAATTAAGTTGAATATTCAATATTCTCATTTAGTTCTTGCCTCGCTCAGTCCTTTGTCCTGCTGACTTCACACACACACAAAATATATATATGTTAAATATTTGAAGTCCCTAACAAACGCTTATAATTATTGCTCTCGGGACCAAAGGTAGAGGCTGTCTGAGATGAGTTTACCGGTGGATAGAAGGGAAGAGAGTGTGTAGTGACAAAATATTTTCTTGCCGATTTCCCACTCTTTTGTCTTCTCTACTCATTCTATGTACTTCTACAATTTTTTACAAGTAGAAATTTATTTTATTTTTTATTTTTTCCATTTCTTTGACCAATTTTTGTTTACTGTGTGAAGTAAACTGGGTAGAGGGAACACTATCCACTCTCAGACCAAAATCGTAATTATGAACGTATGTAAATTCATGAAAACAGAGGCTAGTTGTTTTTTTTGGGGGGGAGGGGGAGGGTTGGAACTTGAGTGGGAAAAAGCTGCGCATGATCTCTCCTCCTACAGGCAAACTCATCTGATGCACTATACAAGCAAGAGCTTTGGCTTTGGCTCAATAGTAAGATATATTATGCTTCTTCTTTTAGGATGCTACTTTTTAACAAATGGTCCTTTCTTTACGTTTTCTCTTTAATCGTTACTATGTTTCCTTTTAAATTACCTATATCATTTTATGGCTTATTAAATATTTTTACATTTAAGACTTTCCTTTAACATTATAGCGATGATGAACGGGAAGGGTGGAGCGTCCTTAAGGACGGAAAGTAATTTAAGGCATCATTCAAAAATGGGAAGGCTGCGAGATAGTTTGAAAGTAGAATTTATCACTGAGCACCCCAATGTTTAACAAGAATAAGCCTGCTCCAAAAGGCTCTCGATTCATACCTGAGTCCACCGTTGTTAAAGGGTTAAGAAAAAAAGTATAGGAATTACAAAAAAGTAATAAAAGGAAAAGCAGGAAAATATTTTATCCTTCCTATAATGACTAAGGTAGCTGCAGCTAAAACACTTATAAATAATTCTCTAACACCCTTGACATTAAATAATTCTCTAACACCCTTGACATTGATATTGTTGCATGTTCCATGATATATTTGCATGATGTTAAATTGATTAATGCTAATTATGCTGTTAAATTGCATTGCTTTAATCTGTTTAATAAACATTTTTCCTTTATTTTGATTTGAAGGCTATTCTAAAAAAACTATAATATCATTGCCTTATATTATATATCATTGAAGATTAGTTTTTCCTTAACTTTTCTATATTTATTTTAATTATATAGCTAAAAGTAATAATGTGAAATAAAAATATAGTATGATGCTCATGAGTATACAGATTATTTACCCCTCCTCCTAATAATATCAAGTGTTCATTGTTTTATGGTTCAGTGGGAACCCAGGAAGGAATCTAGCAACAGTTTGACAACTGTAATATCTTAAAGTTCGTAAATTATGATTTTTAGGTGTCTTCATATAGTTTTTATTTTTTTTAATAACTGGTTTCAATCTGTAGGACCTTCGTGGTGATAAAACAACAAACAATCAATATGAAAATAAAATAAATAATAATAATCAAGTAATGACAGGAAAATAGAAATATTTGAGAGGAAAGTCCTTCTGATGATAACTGGAGCAATCTAAGATCACATTACCGATGAGGAAAGAGACTCTTAAAGAACTACTTACTAAATCAGATCCATCTGAACTGGTGATTTTTTTTGTGCCTGATGTAATTACAGGTATACCAGAGGTCAAAGGGGATTACCTTGGATAAATCCAGTTACCTGTTTAATCACATTGATTTTCTATTTCTTTTCTTAAAAAACAATATTGGATGACATCGTAGTCTCTTGGATCATTGCATTGGTTGAAGAAGGCCAAAGCAAGCAATTACATGATCGGAGTCCACGGGCTGCCAACAACAGTTCGGGGGGCAGTCCAGAAATACCGGGAGACAGGAAGCTACGTTAGGAGGCTGGGATTAGGCCGTTCTAAAACTACAGGTCCTTGTTGACTGACCACTTCATTGCTTTGCAAATCCTCCGAAACTGCTTCCAGACTTCAGTTATGGGATATAGATGTCAGCGCGCGAACATTAGAGAGAAGGCTTGCTTAACTCATCCTGAATGCTAGGGTCTCCGTTTCCTCCTCAACTTACCGGAGCTCACCTTTACTTTTGTCTTGAACATGCTGCCTGGACTGAAAGATGATTGGGCCTTTGTTCTGTTTTCTGATGAGTCTAGGGATAGTCTTTATGGTACAACCGGATGAGTTGAGGTGTGGTGCAGACCGAGTGAGCAATATTCAATAGCTGAGGATTGTCTTGGTATGTGAAAGGAATTAAATTCCTCAAGTTCAGGTAGCCAGTATCGGAGAGAGTCGAGGCATTGCCCACTTTAAAATTGTTGAGTCTAGTGGTGCTTGTTTGAATCCATCCCAGATGGATGAAAATTTAATTCATTGTGGACCCATGGACTAAACCTCGACCTTCCCACTTTTGTTAGAACTGGCTTTGTTGTACCTCTAGTATCCGAAAAAGATTGTTCAAAATATAAAAATTATCTATATAGTAAGATATCTTTTGGTTTATTATTTTCAATAATCAACCAAGGGAAATAAAACAGTTGACATCCCTCTCAATATTTCAGATTTTATGTTTCAAGAAATGTAGAATCTAAAAATCTAATATTATTAAAAAAAAACAAAAAAAAAAACGTCCGTCCACTGTACTCAGGTCTCCAAGAATACTGAGCCAAATTGTTTTGAAATTTGGTGTCATAAATCAGAAGTTACCTGAAGATTATCTTCCCTTTGCTATTCTGTTTTTAAATGTCAACTGAAAAAAGGTTTTTTTTTTGTAATTGACTAGCATCTAAAAGACAGTAACCATTTTAATGAAACTTTCTAGTTTTCTCCTAAAAGCCAATTAAAGTTATGATGAATGCTGGATTTTATTTGTAAACTATTTAAAAAAATATAATTTTGTTGGTTAATTATGTGTATACTTATTTGAAAGCTAATGAAATTTCAATAAATCTACTAATACTTGGTTGTTAATTAAATGGAATTAATATGAAGTGCATTGAGTTTTTTAATTAATAGCCTTGAATCATACTTAAATTTATCCATGTTGTATTGTTGGTCAGCATAAATTAATAATATTAATGTGATTGTGGTTGGTGCACAAGTGTATAGATAGTTTAAAAGTTTTAAATAACTGCTACTATTTTTAAATGTTTTACAAAACTGATTAATATGACTCATTAATTAATTGTCTTATATTATATTGTTTATTTTGATAACACTTCTGATGAAAATAGGTTGGAAAATTGTTTATATTTTTTAATTTTATAGTTCAGTATTGTGTGAATAAAAATTTTTTACTATTTTTATACTTATGATTATGTTTGGATTTATATGATAAATATTTTGGCTATGAAAAAAAATATAGTAACAATGATATGACTAATCAAGGATTTTTCCTTAACACGTGTATATATTCCTCTATACATATTGCATATACATGTATATAAGTGGTGTTTATGTATTAAATTACAAATTTATTTTATGTTAATATGGTATCTTATAATAGTTTAGATGTATAAAACCATTTGTTTATCTGAATTCAGTGCTTAAAGTTTAATTTTTCTATTTGGAATATATTAGTATTACTTTATTATGAAAAACACATACATCATTTTCTATCATATTATATTTTTTCCATGTATTTCTGTAAATGGCATTTGGTTTTTGAGTTTTTAATTTTTATCTCAAATATATAGTGGTATTTTATCATATCGAACTTCTATATATCGAAAATCTTGGTGTATATAGAAATCTTAAGTTTTTATTTTAATAAAAAAACATTTTATAATTTTTTAAAAAATAATATTTATTGTCATTTTCACAACAAAAAGATCTTATTTTACTTTTATAAGAATAAAAGATTTTAATAAAATTCAAGAGTAAAATAATTTAAGCTCTTGCAGTAAACACAGGAATGAAATTTTGTGTGTCTTGACATAGATCAAAATTTTCATTTCAAATTGATTTCAATATTTCTTATTTTATATATAATTTCTTATTTAATATTCCTTGTAAAAATGCCTCCTAAATGAAAATCATTAATTTTTTTTATCATATTTTCTACCTTCGTTGCCATGATATTTTTTAATTGATGAATGTAGATAGCTAAAGCATAATATAAAAAAAAATATTGGGGACTGTTCCTCCACAATTTTAATTAGAAAATGGTTTAATTTGAAAGGAAAGTTACCTTTAAAAAGTGAACCTACAAAGGGGAATAAAAAATTAAACAATATAAATATGGCAAAAAAATATAAAGTTACAAGTACAGTTAACATAAAACTATTAATCATCTATTGAAATATTGAAAAGTTTTGAAGGATGTCAGAAACTATTTGATTCTTTACAGTTTGATAATGTTGATGAAGCTGTACTAAAATTAAATGCATTAAAAAAAATTGTTTTTAGTATTATAAGGAAGAAAAATTACATTATTTTGATATGTAAATTTCTACTGTTCTTAAATTTTTTGTTAAATGTGAAGATCTTTATCTTTACATATTAAATAGACTGCAATTCAATGATGATATGCATATTTGTTTATTTCAATGTTGTTTTTTTTAAATGTATTTTAACCTGTTTTTGATGGAATGTATTTGAATGAAATTCTAGATGAGATTAGATATAATGGCTAATATAGAATGGTTGCTTATGGTTGATGCTGTTTAGTTGAAGCTGGTGTCGGGCGGTACAGCCTCCTCACAGATCTCATCCTTAGTGGGCCTCCCTCATGATTGGCTATTCTTGATATCCTTGCGCTCTCTAGCTATCTGCTATCTTAATCTTTTGCTCGGTAAGGCTTTTCATCGCCTTGTTCTTTTATTTTTAATCCAACCTTCCTATCCTGCAAGCTATGTACTTATTCTAATTAACCACTATACTTTAACCATTACAGGGAATCTCTTTTTTACATAGCCCATTTTGAAGTTACATCATTAACCAATTTATACAGAAACCTTGGTTTATGACTAAGTAAATTAAAAGTTTTGAAAAAATAATTATTGATGAATTTTTGATACACTATTTCACAACTATCCCTGATAATGTGTGATCCAAGATTGCATAATCACACTCACCTTTCGACACTTTATGTAAAGTCTGACTGAAGTGATCTTGGGCCCTCCTTCCTAGGTCATGCAGTTAAGACATGTCAACTAGCACCATTAAAATTAATTTATATATGTGTTTATACCATATAGATGTTGGTGCTCATCATACAAAAGATTTCTTATAAAGCAATTCAAAACTGAAAGCCACAAAATATATCTTTATGTATACATTTACTCACAATTTTTTTGATCAGAACTTAAAACAGTAAAAGTAAAATCCGACTTAAAACAGTTAACAAAGAGTGGAACGGAATGTAAATATGAGAACCACCTGTGTTTTATCATGTTATGTTCATAATTACTAGTGTACTTATTTGATATATAATCAGTTTTTAGGCTATCATTGATCAAAAATGAAGGTAATAATTTAACATTGATTTATAAAGTTTATATAACATAGCTTTGCCTTTTTTGTTTACTTTTCTTACCCTCACCTTCTAAAGGTACTATTTTGCTGAAACTGCTGACTGGGGTTGTTATAGCCTGCCTATAACCTTTTAACATTTCGCTGTATCTTCGAAGATAAAAAGATGGACATCCTATTATAATAATAAAAATGAACATCCTATAATAATGAACATCTCTGACTACAGCTTTTTTATTAAAGGAGGAAAAAGAAGATAAAATGTTCATAAAGAGAAGGAATATCAGTATTTCGATGAGATGCTAATCATCAAATCTCTTCTTGGACATTGTTTGCTATTGTCTTGATGAACAACCAAAAAAGAACAACAACGCTGTACTAACAACAATAGTCTCTGATATTAGATATTATTAGTTTGAAAAGTAATAGTAATTAATACATAATTGATTAGTAATAAATATCATATATTTGTAATTAAATCCCAGCAGGCGATGTTTTATAATTTTATCAATAGTAATCTGTAAATCACCACTTTAATTAAAAAATACTAATCGCTTTTTCAATGGATGGATTTTAGTATTTACCTGACGATAAAATTTGTTGGATTGTTTAATTTATTTAATATCGCTTGGATTTAGGTATTTTTGTATTTCGCTGTAATACATTGATGGTGGAATAAATAAATAAATAATCTTGTTACTTCAACCTTAAAAAAATAATTTACTATTGCATTGTTTCAGTTTTAAACAATATTTTTTATAATTTTGCCAGACTTGAAAGAAACATAGGAAATAAAATGTACCGACGTGACTGTTATCATCAAAACAATGCTCTGATATGATAACATAACCTACAACCGCCAACAGCTCCACTGCTTCGTCAGATAGGAGCAGCGCCAGCGAAACAGTTCCTTTCTATTCTACTAAAGCAGTGGTCAACCGCGAGCAGTCGTGGTCGTGGACCGCACCAGCGAAATAGTACCTTAACATTGTGGAGAGAATGTTGATTATTGTATAGGTTTTAGTGCTATCTATTTTAATCATGCACTTGATGAAAGCAATTTAATTTTATTGTTTCATCTCTTTTATGTATTCAATTTTACAAATATACATTTTCATTCGAACTAAAGATACTATTTTGCTGATATTAACCATGGCAGCGACTGCCGACCGTTAATGCTTGTATATTTTGCCAAAACTGCTCACTGTCATGGCCAAATCCTCTCGATTTAGCATCCTAGTTTGAAATAAAAGTGTTAGCCGAAAGATTTAATGGTTTTATTTGTATTGGAAGGACAGAAATATATATGATGACAGAGTTTCGATCTTATTTAATTATTACATCCTATTTTTTCTTGTATAGTATAGCGCACCTTTTATGTTAAAGTTGTTACTTATTATTAGTAAGATCATTTCAATAATAAATGTTATATAATTATAATGAAATCACAGCAGGAGGCAATGCTTTACCATTTTATCTATAATTGGTCAGTAAATCAGCACATTAATTTAAAAAGACAAATTGATTTTTTCAATGTGTGGATTTGATTATTTACCTCATGTTAAAATATTTTGGATTATTAATTTATTTAATGCCGTTTGGATTTAGGTATATTTGAATTCCTCTGTATATAATACTTTTAGTGTAATTAATAATCTTGTTACTTCAACCTTAAAAAAATTATTGACTTCATGAAAAAAGGAAATAAAATGTATCAAGGTGAGCGTTGTCATCAAAACATTTCTCTAATATAACATAACCACCGTTACTGCCAACAGCTTTATTAGAAATGGTCAGAAAGGAGCAGTACAGATATGACCTCATACCTAGACTGCTGAGCAGTGCCAACAAAATATGGTCCTTTCTATTCCTCTTAAGTAGTCTTTAACTGTTAGCAGTCAGGTGCGGTGGGCAGTATCAGCGAAATAGTACCTTAACACAGATTAGTTCTGTGTTGATAAAATGTTCAAATATTGCATAAATTTTACTTACTGGATTTTTGGCAGATAATATAATCATCTTAGTTGTTTTATTTAAATCTTTCAACATATCTTTTTTTTCTTTTTAAACAGTTATCACATTATGTACTAAACTCACTTTTTAGACAATAACTAATTTATTAGTCACTGTATGAACATAACATTCTTTGATAATGGACTGACAACATGACTAACTACTGGGACAGATAAACAACTGAATGACAAAGACTCAAGGTTTGATACTTCAAACTGTCACTGCTCCCCCCATTTTGTGTGATTTATAACAGTCTGGGAGGTTCTAGAGCAATTTTAGATTCTTTTCAATTTTCTTTTTATTATGAATTTGGATAGATAATTAATACATTATTTAACTAAAAATAATCAATATATTCCAAAGAAATAAATACTTTCAAACTTTAAAGGTGAATAAATCAAATTAATGATAGTTTAACCAATAACTGTACTTAATATTACCTACTACTTCTATTCACAGACATAAAACCTGCCAGAAATTGATAAAATTATTCATGTTATTTTAGCTATAAAATTAACTGATTGAAAATCTTAAACAATACATCTGTTTGATAATAAAAAATCCTGTTTATATAAAAGTTATAAATATTAAATTTACTAGATTTTATTTTTATATTTCCTGATTAATATTTTCAAATGTACATCATAGTGTTAAAAGGATGTTTTCTTTTTTAAAAAACTAAGGTTGTTATATTTTCTTCTCTGATGTATAAGATTGTTCCCATATTCTGTTCTTCTTGAGTTTAACTTTCTATGTTTTAATATAATCAAAATTTGAGGTTTTACATTTCAAAATAAGTTGAATATAAAAATTGAATTAAAAAGCAGTTCCCTCAATAGTTTATCTCGGAGACAACTTGCCAATTTTCTTGAGATTCGTTATCTAATTCCTAGATGGTTTTCATAACTATTTGGCACTTGGTATGTTATTGATGTCCAATCTTTGTTTATCTTTGGTGTGAGTAATATAAATAAATTCAAATAAAATGATGGATAATTTAATATTTTTCTATAGTCATTTTAACTTTGCATTGTAAATTGACTGTATTTCGATTCACATTAATCAGGTTTTATATAACAGAATAATTTATTATTGTTTTTAAACAGTGACTGACATCTGATGACATCGATATGAGTATATTTAAATTTGCTATCTTAAAAGGTTATGTATAATATATTTTTATTTGTATGTTAAACCAATTGGGAAAGGGGACTTTTATAGATTCATTATTATTATTATTTATATATATAATTCACTTTTATAGATTAGAAATTTTAAATACTTAGTTTATGGCCCACCTTTTTACTTTTATCAGTTTTCTACACTTATAGAATTAACCCTTAATAATTGTATATCTAAAAAAAATAAATGCATGGCTTGGTAAGGATTAATTTTTTCAGGAAACAGTTATTTAAGTTTTAATTTTCATTTTTAAGAGGAGAGTGGATACCAGAATATTGATATAATTTAGAAGTTTTTAAATAAAGTATATTAGATACATTAAAACACCATTTAATTTATGTTTTAAAAATAAAATGAATTACTAATTATATGTGTAAAAATCAATTTAAAATTTATTTTATGCCTACAAAAAAATAATGTAATGAATGTTTATATACCTATTAAAGGAAGGAACATTATTAAGAAAGTTATATTTTAACCAGAGGAAGAGAAAGGAAGGCCAAAATTTAAAACAATATCTACACATATATTTTTAAAGACAATGACAATACAGTCAATAATTATTCATATTTTTAAAAAATTTTAACATCTTATAATATTTAATATTGTAAAATAATATATAAAATGTTGAGTTTCATTTCTTGCTGACATTTTCGAGGAATGGGGTCAATACTGCAATAAGGTTTCACACTTCCACACTGGGTTTTCTTCTGTCTCCTATTTACATATTTACTATCTGTACATGGGTTGAATATTTATTAATTTGATATTCTCAAAATTATATATTTCCATACTTACATTGGTTTAAAATTCCAGTTAGGTTTTATTGTAAAAATTAATTAAAGATTTGGTCCATACAGGTTAGTAAATTTTCTCATGTATTTTTTTTTTTTTTTATTATAAAGGAGATGGTTGTTTTTATTTTCATCTTAATGAGATATAATAATGCTTGGTGTTTGGACTGGTATCAGCTGTTCTCTTAACATTTTTCACTCTTTCATTTGTTAATTCTTTTAATATGTTTCTCGGTTCTTTTTCTTCTGTTAAACATAATATAATAATTGCAATTTCAGGTTGACAAGACTCTGAGGGACAAGATGCGAACTGCTTGAATGTTGACAGACTTAAAATTATTACATATAAATGTTATGTATTTATTAGTACTTATATACCATTTATATGTATATGTTATGTTATGGTTCAGATCTAATGCATATTCTTGGCAAATCACTTTCATAAAAATGGTCTTTATAATTTCCCCCCCTAATCTTATTAAGAAATATAGTACTGATATGCTTATTCTTTTTTTTTTTCTTTTTTTTTTTTGAAATTAAAAGCTTTGGGCAAGGAAAACCGCTGGCCATGTCATAAGAAGTTTTTTTTTTATTTCATAGCGCATTATGAATTATTCTTTTCTGACTAGAACTAACGATTTTCTTGCCCTAGCGTAGTGTTTTAGAGAAAACAATAGATGTGCATTACTTATGCCTGTCAATAAAATAAATTTATGAGTCGTGTATGTACATACAGATATATATTTAAAACTTGTACCTGATTCTGCATGGTGATTACAGTGGGTTTGCAATAAATGTATATATGAAGGAATGGACATGCATTCCCTATAAGATATTGGTGAATTAAGTCACTGTACGTATATGTGTAGTGCTTAGAATTTTTTTTTTTTTTTTATTAAATAATAATTCTAAATTATCTTTTTTTTTTTTACGTAAATTAGAATTTAAGTCATTTCACAACTCGTAGTGATTTTTTTGTGTAATTTACTTGGTTACTTTTTAAAAATTTTGTTTATTTATAGAAATTTCTACTTCTATTAAAAAAAAAAAATGATTAAAAATCATAAATTTTACATAATGATGTTATTCATTATGTATTTATTTATTTATTTGTGACTTCTACATACATTGTAGATAAACCTTGAAATGTTAATTAGTAAGATGATTTAAATGCCATATTTAGAGAATTTATGCTCAGTAGAATATAAGAAAAATCTCATTTCATTGTTTATTATTTATTTTGAATAAATATAATTGTTTTTGTTTTCCTTCTTAAATTTATTTATTTTTAGAACATTTAAATTAATGCTACTTAATAAAAATAAATTGTGGTAGATAAAATTTCTGGAATCCAGGCTTTATTTAAAAATCTATTGGATTTAAAAAATATATATATTATTTCATGTATTAAATGTTTTCTCTCTTTTTTTTTTTTAAATTTTTATTTTAGTTGTGTACATTACGTGAAATTTATTGTTTAAGCTTACTTGTTAATTGTTTACTTTTAACTAATTGCTGTAGAAATTATAGATAGGGTATTTAATATATTGTTAATTAGGATTGTTTATGTTTTGTACATACAAAAAATTTCGTCTTGTGCATATTTTTTACTACTTGCCTTTTGTACACCTTAATATGTGTTACAAATAGAGTTATTAGAGATAGTGTTTTTATTTTATTGAGAAAGTTCAGTAAAAAAATTTTTGAAATATGGATGATAGAACAAAGTATGAGTGATTTTTGTGAATTGGACCGTTATAAAAATAAAAATTCTTAACTGCTCTTTTCGCATTTTAAGAAAACAATCATTACCTATAAGTGATATTGAGTAGTTACTTTAAAAAAATTATGTTAAAATTTTCAATGTGATGTAATATACAGGGACGGGAATGTCTTATGTTTCCAAGCTATTAGCATTTATATAAAAATATAACTTTGAATTTGAGTTCTTTATGTATGTTTTTAATAGAAGTATATTGTCAATTGTAGTTACCAATGATATATGTTTTACTTTTAAACAATTACTTTCAATTTATGACGAGAGGAGTAAATTTTTATAATAAATTTGTTGGGCATTGTAATGGCAGTCCTTTCCCTGGTTATCTATGATAGTATTGGATAATCTAATGTCAGTATTTAAAGTTAAGTTTTTTATTTTTTATTATTATTATGATTATTATAATCATCCTCCCCAAAGCGGTCAGCATTATTTCATAATGAATGATAGTAGGTGATGAATGCTTGAAGACTTTTTATGTAATATTATTTGATCTCTTTATATTTACTAACATAAAAATGAACTTGATTATAAAAGAGCCATCGTTAAATGTGCCTATTAATAAAATCGGTCGAGTAAAACATGTAAACTATTGATATTTACTTAAAATTGTCATTTGAATTTGTTGTATTATACTTCGCCTCAGTGCACATTTGGCTTCTTTACGTATGATTATTTAAAAATGAATTGGAATGACTTAGTGGAAATTCATTGCAGAAATTGGGTATTTTTTATTTCTGTAATAGAGAACATTATCAATGGAACAAATACTCAAATCTCTTCAATAAATGTTCGCTATTTAAAATTGGAAATTAAAATAATTTAAAAATAAAAAAAAGATTATAAGGGCTGAACGGGTGTTCTTGTACAAACTAGTTATAACAACTCAAGAGAAAGGTATTTTGTATTATAGGAGTAACAATTTTATATAAATAATTTTGTATATATGTATTCTATACATGTATACTATGTTTGTGTGATTTTTTGTTATATTTCACAGTAAAAATTTTAATACTGTCTAAATATATATATTTTTTTTGTATAATGAGAACTAAAGAAATTTGTATGTACTATATATAATCTATTATTGTCTTTCTAAAAGTGAAAATCTAGACTTATGTGATACAAATTGGATATGTACTTTAGTTGAACTCAACTAATGGATTACAGTATCTGTTTTCACATGTTGTATCTTTTTATCTTCCCTATCCTTATGGTGTTTGTCTGAAAGTTAATATGGTTCCTGTGGGTTCTATTAGTTCTCAATGAAAAAGTAATTTTCTCTATTGGTTTAAGGAATCTCTTATTTTTATGCATGCTTCATTTTTCTTTTGTTTACTATTTCATAAGCGAATGATCCTTAACATTAAAATTTGTGATACGAAGTAAAGGAACCATTGAAATAAAGTTCACTTGGCATTCCTGAAACTTGTTCATTTTTATTAAAATTTGAGTAATAAACAATAAACTAACACTATAAACAAAATTAACAACATTAATTATTTTTTATGTATTAACATTTTACGTTTTGCTTTATTATTATTATCAAGATTTTGAATTGTATTTAATCCAAAAAAATAAACTATTGAATTTTATCGAAGGTTATCGCAAAGAGATGAAGTTTTATTGTATATCTGTTTTAGAACTCCTAGAACATTTTAATGGAAGATATTAGTGATTTTTGGAGGTTTTGCAGTCTTCTACAGTCACTTCTAATTGAGTCAGTGTTAAAAATTTGTATATTGAGTAAAAAAAAGCTCCTGTCTTTTTCCAAGTATAAAAGTTCCAACTTTTTTTCTTCCATTCCACGTAAACTAAATTATAAAATTTACAACAATAAAAGATGAAAAATTTCAACAGTTGATTTTAAAATTATATTTAATTATCTTTAAATTTATTTATTACAAGCATAAATTAAATAAATTTTCGTCTTTTTCAAAAAAAATAGTGTATTCTGTCACTCTTTTTTTCTTTTTAATTCAATTTTAACAGTTTTATTCTTTATGTAACTATAATTAAGAATTGTATTAAAATCTCAGTATTCCAAAATAATTGCTGTTGGGAAAGGTTCAGATTACTGGTGTTCTAAAGAACTACATACAATATAGCGTTAAAACTCAATAATTACCTACAACATTATTAACTAGATGAATATGTGTGAACTCACTAAAAACCATTAAATTTGTATTATAGTTTAAATTATTTTAAAGAATTTTTTTTATACCTTTGGAGGTCTAATTCCACTGGCTCTCTTAGACTTTAAAGTTTTGTAACACGTATAAGTATTCTTTGTTAAGAAAACTTACTGCTCAGCATTGCGCATCGTATACTTTTCAATATAATATTAGTAGAAAGTATGTTGAAACGATGCACCCTGTATCTTTATGCTTTACTGTCGTTCCTTTTTATATTACAAGATGAATACTCAGTAAATAATCATGAATTCTTAGACTAAGGCAGGTGGATATATATATACATATATATATATATATATATATATATATATATATATATATATATATATATATATTCTGTTTGAATTATTGAGAATGCAGGGTAACAAATTTAAATAATTACTGATAAATTTGATTTTGCTATATATATTTTTTTTTAAATAGAGGGTAGAAAATATTTTAATTAAATATCAAAACTAGGTAATTGTTATTACGATAATTAAAATCTATTTCCTCATTGAATTAGTACCTACTTATAAAAATAAATTTGTATGTAAGCGTTCTATTGACTATAAATTATTAGTATACAGTTAAGTATGAGAATTTCAAAAATAAAAGTTATAAATGTTCATTATAAAAAAGAAAGAAATTGTAGAATAAAATATAATAAATATTAGCTGTGATGGGTGATAAATATTCAGGACGCACTCATTATAAAGTTTTTATTAGTGCCGACTGATATGTTAATTGCAGAAGTGTGATAGTAGATACACTTAATTTTAATAAATGCTTGTTTGTTTACTCAATATTGTTAACACTTATTTAATGGATCCACATTGCTCACTTTTAGAAATGAAAACATTAGATCCCATCTTTCGGTTTATTAGTCTTTGCTTCTTAAATTCGTACAAATTCTATCTTCTAATAAGACAATTTGATTAATTAAATACTTTATTATACTCGTATATTCAATCAGGTAGGTATACTTTAAGTGTTCTCAGTTGAATTTCATTTTAATTCAATTTTTATTAACAAATATTTTATTTTATAGTAATGTATGACATTGAAAATCCTCGTTATAGTAAAAGAAGAATTATTGTTTTGTTTTGACTTTATTTCTGTTTAGGTGAATCTACATACCTGTGAATCCCGAGAACCTTCCATCAGTCATTGTTATACTCTTATAGGTCTGTGATTTATCAAATATTGAACTGAAAACTACAATGTTTATTAGTTTTTATCGGAATGATTGTTGTGTTGCGTTATTGCCTGTTCTGTTGAGTAGATCGTAATCATAAGTACAAAATCTATTACTATATAATTACTTATTCGAGTGTGTGTTTTGTGTATGTATATGTCATTTACATACAAACTTGAATTAAATTTGCATAGGTACAAAGCACATATATTTAATGTTTATATTTTTCTACTGGTTTTATTTAAAGTTGGTTTAATAACCTATATACATAAAAAAAATAGGTTGAAAAAATTATTGTGCAATGTTGTCCAATTCTAGAAAAAGAAAAATTAATGTAAGATTTACCATCAATAACTTTCTTATTCACTAAATTATTTGTCTTCTATATAGTTTTAAAATTTATCCGACTTACTGTCTGTTAGTTGCCACAGTACGAATTTTTATGTAATTAATTGATGTTAGTGAATCGGCTAGTTTTTTTGTTTTTTTTGTTTAAAGAAATATTGGTATACTTTTTATCTTTAGTTGATCTCTTTTAACTTTTATGCTTACCTGTAATTTTTGTACCCATTACTATGTTTTGTTTATTTACTTCATTCTGACTGATACCTTTTATTACCAAAATCAAGTTTAGTCTTATTATTGAAGAAGAACATAACCCATTTGTACCCGTCATACACCAATTTATTAAAAGGCTCTTGAAGTAGATAAACTATTCATAAAAAAGAACAAAAGTTAAGGATATATTTTTATTTTATTTTTTGATTTTCAATTTGTTAAATATTTATAATAAGACTCTTCAAGAAAAAAGCTTTAAAATAAATTTAAGAAAATGATATATTTCTTCTTAATTACTTTTAAAAATGAAATAGTGATTTTTAATATATGTTTAATTGTATAACTTAGATTAAAAAAAAAAATTGAAACTGTAATAAATTTTAAAGAAACATATTGCTTTTTTGCTTATTTTACCTTCAATTTATTTTACGTAAGAATGTAATAAGTAATATATTCCGATTTTTTCAAGATAACATTCAGGTAAGTGTCCTAACAAAATTTTAACATTCTGTTGATAGAAATAGAAATTGACTGATATTGATTTATACTAATGTAATCACTGTCGTCAGAGATAGAAACCAGCAAATTATATATATTTTTATGTTTTGTGTTGAAGGAAACATTCTTTGTGGAGGGAGTGTGGGAGATAAAAGATTCATTTTATCAAAATAAAAAATGTACTTCACCATCTATAAACATTTTCCAATGAATAACTTTAAATTTCCATGTTATAATGCCGAATTTGGAATCTGAAAAGACATAAACTCCTGGAAAGGTTTTTGTATCAAATTGTCAGTTTTAGAAACCTTGGATATTTATTTGGCTTGACTGATCTTCAAATTCATGGTTAAAAAGCCATGCTTACATTTGAAATTTTATTTCTTCTTTAGTAGGGAAGTTCCAGGTTATTAATTATGAGTTTCGCAAATAAAATTTCCTTTGTGACAAATAATTGATATATTTGCCACATATCATTCATTACATATTATCATTTCAGGATTGTTTTCCCATCATCAAAACTCCTCGTGGTATTTTATTACAATTAGGTTTCTATGTTGTTTGCATGGTCCTTTGTCAGTGATATATTTTTCATTTTTTAATTTTATATTATAATATTTTTTCATTTTCTTGAAGAAGAAATGTGTTGCCACTGGTAATATTTAAGTTTAAAAAATGTATCACTGACAAAAGAGCACACAAACATAATAGAAATTGAATTGTAATAAAATACCACATGATGTTCGGATGAAGGGGAACAATTCTGAAAATTTCTTTGCTAAACTCATATTGAAAATTTAACATGTATCTTTTTATCTTCCCTATCCTTATGGTGTTTGTCTAAAATTTGTATTAAAATATTTTATCATATAAATCCTAACACGATTTATGACTAAAATAAGTTAATTAGATTAGTTTCTTCCCATCTAATTGAATGGTAACCATGTTTCAGGTATATGTTTCCTAGATGATGTGAGGTTTAAATGTGCTATAAATTATACCAAGGAGGTAGCAATCGAATTAAACATTTTCTTCTAAACTTTTTTAAAGTTGTGAGAATTGAGTTAGGCACTGTTAGAATTTATGTAATGAATTATTAATTTATAATTTACATTGCATTTCGGGGCAATCTAATCTAAGTACCGAAAAATTAAAAATTGCTTCTTCATGCAAAGTGATGTAAAGATAATCGCTAATGCAGTACATCCTGGTTAAAAGTTATTCCTGAAGTTATTAAATTATCTAATGAAAATTTCCTTGTTTCATAAAACTGACAGTCAGATCTTGCTGATGTATTTTTTTTTCTGTTGGCATTACAGATCATGTAGATCTTTTACATCCTTAACAAGCCTGTTCCATCTCTGCCTGTCTATTGCACCTTTGTTGCTTCTATCTATCCTTCTGCTTTCTGGTCTTTTGCCTTCTACTAAGGCATTCATTGTTATGTAGAGGCTTCCAGATGGATTGCTACGAGCTACATGCCCCACCCATCTTAACCTCTGTGCCTTCATATGGGATATTGATTGACCAGTTTCTGTAAGCAGTTCTTAATCGGTCTTTCTTCTCCATGTGTTAGTACTCTGATTCTACATCACTCCGGTTATCCTGCGGATTTTTCTCTCGAATCTTTCAACATTTTTCTAGAGTGCTACTTAGTGTCCAGGTCTCATAGCCATATAATAGAACTGGCTTTATCACAGCATTGTACACTCTTAATTTGAAATTTCAATACTCAATACCTTTGAAAGGGAGAACAAAGCTCTGTTTGCGCTAGTTATACACTGGTCTATTCTGCCCTGTGGTCATTCATTGAGTTCATTGTAGAGCCGAGGTATTTGAATTTTTTCTACTCTTGGAAATGATTTTCCTTCTACGCAGATCCTGTAATTGGGGTGGAATTTTCGGCCTATTATATATTTGATTTTGTCTTAATTTATTTGTAGATCTATTTGCTCTGCTTCTCCTATCCGAGTTAGAGAGTTTCTCAATGTCCTCTTGATTACTTCCAAGGACAGCCATATCATCTGTGTATCCAAGGGTTTTATGATTCATTCTGACATGGACTACTCCATTTTCCTGAGACGTTGTTCATATTACCTTCTCCAGGGCTAAGTTGAACAACATCGGTGATAGTCCATCTCCCTGTTTTAAGCCCGTTTGAACTTTCGAGGCTTCAGATACTTCTTGTATTAGGATTCTACATCTGGGGTCTTTTTTACACGCCTTTGTCAATATCACCAGCTTACCGGGAACTTCTAGTCATGATTTTCCAAATACAGCTCCTGTCCATAGAATCATAGGCTGCTATGAAATTGACAAATAGGGCATGGATGTCCTGGGCTACTTCCCATCGTTTTTCTTGTACTTGTTTTAGGATGATCTGATCTAGCGTACTCCTCCCTTTTCTGAATCCAGCTTGGTGGTGGCCTACTATATTTTCGTAATACAGATACATCCGGTTCAGTAGGATATTGGTCTTTATCTTATAGACATTCAGAAGGAGTGTAATTACTACACTCATACATTGAGCCTTTCTTTAGGATCATGCCGGCCCTTTATAATGATCATAGTGTTAAGACGTTTACCAAAACCTTTTTTTGGTATTCCATGATTTTTCAGATAATCAAAGTAATTATGACAAGACAAATATGTATAATTTATCCAATGATTTTATTGTTATATGAGGAAGAGTTGTAAAATAAATAAAAAATTCAGGATATATAATTAAATATCTTCCTACTTATGAAAATATAGGCAATAAGAAACAAATGCAATTATTTTATATTCTAGTTTACGATTTGTTGACAATGGGTATTATTAATTCTGTTTTGTTATGAAGTAGAGTAAAAGAAAAATTGGCTCCTGATTAAAATTTTATTAACTGATCTATATTACCAAATAACTTTTAAATGTATTTTAAGCCAAAGCATCCTTTTTCAATTGGCCTTTATCAACAGATCCGCATCGCTTGGAAATTATTTTTCTTGGGTTTTTTTTATGAAATCTAATGACTTCCAGCTTTGAAAAATTCCCTAGCTTTTTCAGTTATGGTAGAAAACCTGATATCTATATCAAGTAATATTACTGTATTTATTAAATAAAGATTTTTCCATAACTTTGAGTTATAGAACAAATTAGTTGAAAGTTTGAGTTATAGAATAGATTTTTTTTTTACTTTCCTGTTTTGTTTATTTTTTGCTCTCACATCACTTTGCGCCAAGATTCTTATTTCTTTAATAAATAATTGAGTGGCCTCTTATCAAATATGGACACCGGTCGTTTTTAAAAAGCTGAGAAAAAGCCAATTTTTTTAACATAGCTTCAATTTCACACCGATTATAGTGATTTTATTTTCATTATTCAACTTGAACTTTCTTAAATAAAAAAATCAGAAACACTTTGAGTTGAATCTATAAAACAGAAATTGACTTCTTCTCCACTTTCCGAAAATACCAAATATCTGTCTTTGATATGAAGCCACTCAATTATAAAATTACTATTTTATTTACATTAATTAATACAATAATTTTTAATATTTTCTTAACAACACTTCCAAAACACATATAACCAGATACTAGGTGTATTTGTTATAGTGTCCTTATGTTTCCTTTGAAAGAATTCTGCTGTCTAATCTGTCTAATAAATATATATATATACATGTGGAAAATTGATATATTTATGAAAGTGCAATGAGTGGTCCTGAGATTCCTTTATTAAAAGATTAGTAAGGGAATTTTTATTTAAATTATAAAAAGGCATATAAAATTTGTCAGGCAATTAAACCACATTTAAAACAAAATTCTTATGGAAATCATAAATATGATGAAATGGAAATTAAATTGTTAATTTCCATCTACGTCAAATAGCTCTTTCAGGCCATAAGAAATCTGAAGACTAATTCACAATGCTTTGAGAATAAATCACAATCATCAAATTGGTTGGTTTAAGTTATAAATTCTGTAAGTTATACAATTTTTCAATCCTTCCAAAAGTACAAGTTTTTAAACATGGTGTCCAAAAATTAATTAAGTTAAATTAATATATCTATCAATATTGAAAACCTTAAGACATTTTAAAGCCTGTGATTGTCGTAGAAAATACAATTTAATCTTCTGCCAGAAATTGTAGTCTCCTAAGCACAGAATCCAGGTTTAATCAGACCTCAGTTAGAATTCGGTCGGAATGTCAGAAGAAAGTTTGTGACGAGAGTAATGATAACATTTTAGATGGCTACACTTGTTTTAGCAAAAAAAAAAATCAATAAGCTCGCACACCAGTCATTTCTTTACCAGTATCAGAAACTGGTATTCAAAGAAAATCTGAATACCTTCAGAATTAGTAATTAAAAGTTTTCAAACTACATTTCAATTGATATTAATTTTAAATTATGTTAAAAAATTTAAAATGGACTGGATCTCTTTTTGAAGAATAATGAGAAAACTGATAAAATACAGTTATCTCATTTTTCCTGAATATATGGCTGTTAACAACTAAAATTGCATTATCACGATGTTCACCAAATTAAGACAAAAAAAAAAAGAGTAATAAAATCCAAGAAAATCACTAATTAAATAATTGTATCAGGATAATCAACATCATTATTAGAAAAAATTTACTATATCACATTTTAAAAAAAAAATTCAGATTAAAAATATTTACATTATTATATACACAATTGTACATTAAACAGATTCTGCTTATAAACCAGTTCTTTTACAGTTATCAGTACTAGCGAGCACGTGGTCTTGCCCTGTTAAAACTAGTTCTTGGTTTTCCTTTAGGAGGAGGAGATTTAGGTCGCAAAGCTTCAATACGTTCAGTACATCCAGTTGTAAGTGTTGAAGGTGTAAAGTAGCTGGCATAAAGATCTGGATTGAAGTTGCTATTTGTCAGTT